CGCCCGGGGCGGGGGGCGGGGGGGGCGGGGTGGGTGTCCTCCGGGAGCCACGATGGGCCCGCCGCGGCCGTGTGCCCGGACGGCCCGCGGGGGCGCTGGGGAGCTGTGTGTTTGTTTTTAAGGCGACCCCGTACTGATTACATCTTTCTCCTTCTGTGTTCTTTTCATCCCAGGTTGAATTTTCTTGGAGAAAGACAGGCCGGCCATCAGGAAAACAAACGAGCCTCAGCAACACCTAAGCCCTTGAAAGGATCCTGAGAGAGGGGGGAAAGGGGAAAGCAGCGGCCACCAGCCCAACCACTGTGTCTTCCACCCCTTCCCACCTGTCTTGCTCACCCCACCAGCCCACGCTCTCCGCTTGGGACTTGCAATCTGTGGCCGAAGGACCCGTCACCACATAACTTCAAAAATAATCAACCACCCTCCCCGCCCAAACCCGCCCAATCTCACTCATCCAGCATTTCCTTTTTGATATCCACTCAGGAAATTTTTTTCTTCCCAACGAACCCCCCTCTCCCTAAAAGGAGTTGGGTGGGGGGGAATGTGAATACTGAGTTGGTCTTTACTTTTTTTCAAGAGACTTTTTTTTGATCCAATGAGGCCCCCCAAGTAATTGAGTTTGGGTCCTGGTTGGTTGTTTTATTTTTTTTTTCCTCCAAAATTTTACCCCTCCCTCCCCCTGAGCCCGAGGTGCTGACGTCGCAAAAAAATTGGATAGTAAGTGTCGAATTTTCAAAAACCAGCCTTGCAACAAGAAATCAACGTTTCCCGTTGTGAAACCAAAAATAATGAGAGGAAGAAATGAGACCATAGAACAAATGTAGAATACTGGAGAAGGACCAATCGGGTCTCTAAAATCTCCATTAAAAAGGTCCTGTGGGTCTAAGCAGTCTTTTGTTCTCTCCCCTGCCACCTGCCTCTTCCCTGCTGTGGAGCAGGCAAGGAGAGGGTGAAGGGAGGGCCAGCAAGTGAGGATATTGACGGTTAACCCTTGATAATCCAGCAAATATCCAGACTGCCAAAGCATAAGCCTTTGCTATTATAAGGAGGAATGGTTACCTTCCTCTGGTTAGCAGTCTTCAAAAGGGTTAATGAGCTCACATACAAAAGATGGTGGATCTTGTGGCCCAGAAGTCCCACTTCTTTGTGTGTGAGACAAGCAGAGCGCCTTTCAATTTGCCAGATTAATAAGCAATCTGTACATAAAGATTGCAGGGTAAGGAGATGGGCAGAGAGAAGTATTAGCTGGCTATGTCTTTAAAGTGATTGTTAAATCCTCTCAATTTTAATGTAATTTGCTTGGGATATATTGTATGGTTAAAATAGGTGGCAATCTAGGAATAAAGATTGCAAGACACTTAAATTTAGGGCAAAATATAATATTAGTAACAAGTACATACAATATAACATTTGGGGAGGTAAAGAATGTCTTGTGATTGTTTCAGATTGCATAGGTTATTTAAAGCCAAAAGTGATTATAACATTTTTAACTTGATACTTTTTAGTGGTTGGTGGATACAGTTAAGAGGGTGGAAAGGTTGGGAAATGTGGAACTCAGAAGTATAATTTTTAAAGCCATTAGTGCAATTGAATGCTAGCTTTCTAGGAGATTTGTGTCGTTAAAAGAGTTTCTTCCCTGCTTCAAATATGGCGACTTTTCCTTGTCCTTTTGTCTTCCAAGCGGCGTTGCAGGTTGTGTCTTGACCCATTTTTCTCCTGTCCTCCCACCTCAACCCTATTTGTTGAGGGGTCCCAAGTCCTCCCCCTTTCCGGTTATAGGGAGGCTTGGGGTGGTCGGCGGTAGTAGCAAATTGAACTTCAGTTGCAAATTCAAATTCTTAACCCGCAGAAAATTGTATATTGATTTTATTTTCAGTAAGCTCTTAAACTGAACTAAAATAGGTCAGATTGAGGAGTGGGGGTGGAGGGATGGCCTCTGGTTTTTTAACTTAGTGCTTTGTAGTGTGAGTTAAGCGACCGGCTGGTCTGGATGGCGTTTTAATTTCTGAGTCGTCCTCGCCATAACAAGATGGCGTCCCTCTCCTTTGTTTTTCTCTTTTGCCAGTCAGCCTAGGGCTGTCCTAGAAACTTGGTCAAGGGGGAGGAGCCACTTTGAAGGATGATGTAATCAGCTTGCTTCCTCTGGAAACTCCACCCCCAAGCAGATGCTTTCTATCCCTCTGCAGATTGCTGCTCGGGAGAAAACGTTTTTAGTTTCCTTTATCTTTTATGAAGTATCTTCCAGGGATAAAGCTTACTGAGTACAGGAATGGAGGCTGTCCTTCTCGTGTAGTTGTAGTTTATGTTTAACAATGAGCCCATTCATTGCTTTATTTCACCTTTCATTCATCACAAACTAGGACATGTACCTTGCCTGCTTTAGCTGACAGGTGTGGAAAAGTAACCCCCAACTGTACTTTAGGTTTGGGAGACTGGGGCAAGACACAGGGCTTGTGTAACTTGAGTAGACAATTGGGCCTAACGAAGCTTAAATGTGCCATGCGCTCAGGACGCAAATGTGGGGAAGGGTTGGTACTTGTAGGACTTTCTTATAAATCATCCTTATTCTCACCTCTCAGTTTGGGAATAAACTCTTGTGCTCAGTGCCATCACCTTCTGCAGTTGCTTAGTTCCTGTATGTTGGCACTAGGATGAGAAGTGAATCTTTAGGAAAGGAGGCTGCAGTTGTAAACTCGAGGCAGGGGGAGTCAAGCTACGGTTTCTGGTAAGCAAAACATTTCTGGTATTACATTTCACAACCTGTCTTTTTTCCAAAGAGCCACCTTTTTGAATTTCTTTTTCCTGCCTTCTAAAAAGAAATTCCTTGAAAGCATTCAGAAGAAGAATGTCCTCTTGGTGTCCCACCTGGTCAGTGCTGTGGCAATCCATGCATGTTGAAAGCCACACCCTTGAGGGTGGTATTGGGTGTCTGGTTCTTATCTCTTTTTCCCAACTTTTTCAAAGTCAAGTCTTTGACAGTTTCTTCTTATACTTTTCATTTTTGTATTTAAAAGCCCAGCATTGAAGTCTGGAGTTTCTAGGCAGAGTTTGTAAGCCTTTTGTCCTGTCCTATGGGGTCTTGGGTTTGACAGAGCTCATTTTCTGCTGGGTGTGGATTCTCATTATTACTTGGACTTCTGATTGAATGGGAGGGCCTCTTCCACATGTCTGTTTACCACACGTCTTTTTTATCTTTTAAGCAGTTTGCCAGGTGCCTCTGCAGCATACCTACCTTGGGAGCTGAGCATTCCACCCACTGGGGTTCCTGATCTCTAGTGAGCAGGGGATTAGTAAAGAAGACCTTCCTTGCATGGAAGATGAAAAGCAAAGCTTTCTAGGGAACCTTGGAGAGCCTGATTCTCATGACGTGGCCAGAGTTCTATTTGGGGGACTTTGAGGTTCAGGATGGTGGACATGATTTTGTATCTTTATTGAAAGCCAAATAGTCTTCCTGGGACCAGGATTACCAGATTTTCAAAATAAGGATGAGGGAGAAGTAGAGCCTTACCATGCAAATGCACAGAGTCTGAACCACCTGAGACAGTCCTTCCACCATGGGCTCATACCAGGAAGCTCTTGGGACACTTAAGGGGAGAGCAAGCGTTTTGCTTTGGGAGGTGCTCAGGTCCCAGCCAACAGGAGCCGGCACTTCTTTGTCCACTTTAAAGTGCCCTGGCATGGACCTTATTTCCTGAAGTGATGGAGGGAGGATTCAGCAGTGGTAGATGTTTAGTGACGAGCCAGGATGGATGCTTTCCCACCATTTTAAACCAAATAATCCTCAAGTCAAATTCATTTTGACATTGGGTAGGAATTTGATATCTCTAGTAAGAAGTGTAGATCACTCCCCGGTGCTTAGAAGGTGGAGGTACTTCACAGGCTTTTGTCTGTGGCCTTCAAGGAGACTGGCAACTGGTTAAAGCAAAACAAAAACATGACCTGAGTTCTTTAAGGTTGCAGAAAGCTTCCTCTTCAAACTCCAGAGCAGGTGTAGGGAATACTTGGGCACTGTCCCTGCCCACTCTGGCCAGTGCAGCTTTGGGCCCTCACCATAGACTTCTCTAATCATTATGGGTTCTTCCTTTGTTACCACTGGAAGGACCTTATCACTCTCTGTGAAAGTGGAGACGTAGGTTATAAGGCACTTGGGGTCCCAAATAAAGAATTACCACTAGAGGAAAGGCACTGAGAAAATGCGTATTTTACTATGAGGAGACAAGTTCAGCCATCCTCCTCCCAAATACAAGGGGAAACATGCTTCCTTGACTATTGTGCCTTTTTGTTTATACAGATGGCAATTTTAAAATACCTAGGTCCCATTTCCATCGGAGGGTACTAGACATCGCTCAGCTTGGTACTCATTGGTCCAGTTTCTCCAAAGGTGGCTGCCCTCTGTCTCGTCTGACAATTGAATGAAGGGACATTTCAGTTAGGCTTATTAGTTCCTAGGTAGACATACAAAGGAGATAATGTTTACCTCTGGGTTACCTTCAGTCAGCTGTGTTCAGAGGGCCTGGAATGTAATGTTTAATTCAAGACTTGTCAAACTGCATATGTTGTCATTTGGAGATCTAATAGGCTTGTGTATGTATAAAGGATTTTTAAATTTCCAAGTCTAGATTGCTTATGTACTATTACTTTGGGCCCACTCATTCCTTTTCCAGTCTAACAGATGGTACTATAGCGGAAGCTTCCACAAGTCACTGCTATCTTCAGACAGGGAGATCTCTCTGTGTTCATATAGCCACACCTCATTGAGTTTGTCCCCTAACTTGTAAACATTTCCAATGTTCTTGAATGTTTTTCTCCTCTGACCTCAGGTCCCAGGGTATTGGGTGATCGCAGTTAACAAATTTTGCTCAATGCTTGGCATTTCTTCCCTGTGTGTCTCTGTGTTCAGCCAGCAGTCTTCAGCCTCCAGAGCAGAGGCCACGGCCACCCTTCCTTTCCCTGGCCCTCTCTCCTGCTGCTATTGCTGCTGTCCTGGATATTAGGAAGTCCACATTTAAAAGTGATTTTTTTCTTTTTTTAAAGACACAAAATTTTTATCTTGGTCTTTCTAGAGAGCCACTGTTGTCTTTGACAGCCTCTTTACTCTGGGTAAGCATGTCTCAGCCAGGAAAACAATCCCGCTTCTTAACACATCTTTCTTTCCTGCTTTGTCTGGGAACAAACAACTATTGTATTGCAAGAGTCCTACTTTCTGTAGAAAATGCAATGATTACTTTGTTAAAACTGGTATTCGCCCTTGTGTTTGTGAGAGATGCAGGAGCGGGGTGGGAGGGGGTTGCTTTTTTCCTACCCATACTGGCTTGGCCACCTCACTGCTGATGAGGAGGCTCCTGTCTTTGGTTCTGAGGAGCTGGTGGTGATAGAGTTGTGCCTAAAACTCCCAGTCAGAACCACATCAGTCCTAATAATCTCTCTGGAATTCTGGCCTGGAAATGGCTTTCTTTCCATGGAAGCAGTGTGTCTTTTAACTCATTCCTTTCCTAGCCAGATTTAGAGTGTTGTCCGCTTTCCACATCTTCAACTTCATTATGTCTTTTGGTTCTTGGCGTTGGCCTTTCCTTGGGAGTCTTGGACAGTGGTGAGTTTTGAGGGCAGGAGAAGGTCAGGTTTGCATCTTTGCTTCTGAAGCCACAAGCAAACTTTCTCTAGAACTTTGGAACAATAAAAGCTTGTTTGGTGTTTGTTTGATGAGCAACATTATTCAGAGCTGATGAGAGTCTGCCTGCTTTCCTTTTCAGTTACTCTTGTTTCTGAGAGCTACTGAGCTCCCTGGGGAAGGGCCCTGCTCAGGGCTTGCTTGTTTTTTTCATCAACCACTTCAGCTGACACATGGTGCCACTTGTGATTATGACTTAAATAGCCAAGATAAAAGGGAATTGATTTCTGGAGAGAGAATGATTGATTCTTGAAAATGTTTACTCAGGGTTGGCTTGTTTACCTTAGGAAGCTACAGCTGCCTCCGCATCAAAAGTTAGTAACCCTAACTGGAGACAGGACTGTCTTCCGTCATGAAGAGTTGAGCATCTTACCATGGGTCTTAGCCCTGAGATACTCTCCTGATGTGTAATTGTCCTGGAAAGGGTTTAGCTGAGGAAAGGTAGGCTGCTGGGGCCTTCACTCGAGTTGCCTTTGAGGTCCATCCTGCATTAACCCCAAACTTAAGTGACCAAGGCTGTTTTGTGAGCACAGACTTGATTTTACTGACCTATGGAATAGTACAGTTGGACATAGATTAATTAGTCACTGTGTCTTATAGGTGCCAGTGGGACTCATTAGAGGAATAAGTTAGTGGGACTGTCTTTGCTATTATTTATCTTGTGGGTTTTTTGTTTTTTTTTTTCCTTTTACCTCAGAAACCACCATCATGGGTTCAGGTCCCATAGACCCCAAAGAACTTCTCAAGGGCTTGGACAGCTTCCTCACTCGGGACGGAGAGGTGAAGAGTGTGGACGGGATTGCCAAGATCTTCAGGTGAGTCCGCCCTCGCTGGGCTCCGCGCTAGAAGAGAGGACTGCCTGTCCTGGCTGAGCAGAAATGAGTAAGAGAGAAGAGTATGTGGGAGGGGGGGGCACCACTCGCAGGTAGATTTTGACAAGAGAACGGTGATAGCAGCTGGAGATCTGGTTTATAGTCCTAAGAGTCATGGGCTGAAAGCCTGATGCATTGCAAGCAGGGGAGCCTATAACAGAATTCTTGGCTCTGTTTTGGGTCATGTTGTGCCTATCCAAAATGTCTTTTTCCTTCAGAGATCTCAGGGTTTCCAGAGAAAAGCAAACAGCTAAGCCAGTCTTAGGTTACAAGGGGAAATGTGAGAGCCCTGACTCCCCTGGAGGCAGTTGTTTCTGTGTGTTGGGACACGAGGGATGCTCTTCCAGGTGGCTCTAGATTGATTCCGCAGTCCCAAGATGAGAGTCCTCTGCCTGCTGCATGACGTTAGCTGGCATAGTGTTTGTCATGCCTGTTCTCCCAGCACTCAGGAGGGGCAGCTAGCCTGGGCAGTCGGTGCTGACAGCAGATGCTCTGCCCCACATCTAACTTGCCTTCTCTTTCCAGTCTGATGAAAGAAGCACGAAAGATGGTGAGTCGATGTACGTACTTGAACATCATCCTGCAGACCCGAGCCCCAGACGTGCTGGTCAAGTAAGTGGGAGGCAGTGATGGGGAAGGAAGGGGAGGCTTGGGGTTTCTGGGTCACTGGACATGTGAGCTTGCTAGTTCTAAAACTAGGAAGGGCTTAACGGATTCTGATCCCACCTGCCTGCAGGTTTATTGATGTCGGTGGCTACAAGCTTCTGAACAACTGGCTGACATATTCAAAGACAACCAACAACGTTCCTCTCCTGCAGCAGATTCTGCAGACCCTGCAGCACCTCCCACTCACTGTGGACCATCTCAAGCAGGTACCTCCAGGCTGCACCATGCACTTTCCCTTTCTGGGTTAGCCCGACTGATGGAGACCTCACTCGGCTTCTCATGGGTGGCAGTCTGGAATTTGAGGAAAATGGGAATGTGGAGTTGGAAGACTGGGTGTGGATTTATGACCTGATATGACCCTTGGTATATCTGAGCCTCAGTTTTTCATCTCTAAAGTGGGAGTGAGTTGGCCTGTAACTGGGTCTAGTCTAGTACTCTACTAACTGAGCTGTCTTTTGGGTTTCTCTGGCAATAATTAAGAATGTATCTGGGTGCCAGGCGGTGGTGGTGCACGCCTTTAATCCCAGCACTCGGGAGGCAGAGGCAGGACTTAAACTCTGTGAGTTCGAGTCCATCCTGGTCTACAGAGTGAGGGATTACAAAGAGAGGCAGACCCTTAAAAAAAAAAAGAAAGAAAACTACAGGTTTTGGAGGTTAAAGTAGGCCAGCACTGTCAGTCGGTGGTTTACTTAGTGCTGAGTGAGCTTGTTTTATTCCTGGCATTTACCATCTGCATTTCCTTCTCACAGAACAACACAGCAAAACTAGTGAAGCAGCTGAGCAAGTCAAGTGAGGATGAAGGTGGGTGCAGTGTGCAAACCGTGCCAGTGTCCGCCCGGACCTGAGCTATGCCCAAACCGTGCCAGTGTCCACCCGGACCGGAGCTATGCCCAAACTGTGCCAGTGTCGGCCCGGACCTGAGCTATGCCCAAACTGTGCCAGTGTCCGCCCTGGACCTGAGCTATGCCCTGCCATCTCTGTACTATGGCGTTGTCTTTTACTCCTGTCTTCCCTCCCTTCCATTTTCTATTTCTTTTTGGGAGACAGAGTCTCTGTGTAGACTTTGCTGTCCTGGAACTCACCAGGACAGTTTGGCCTCAAACAGATCTGACTGCCTCTGCATCCCAAGTGTGGGATTAAAGGCATGAGGCACCAGCCCATTTTACTTTTTGTCACAATACTGAGTGTTAGGTGTGTGTTTACATGTTACCCAACCCCAGGGTACCCTGGCATGCTGGGTAAGAACCTAAGTATTAAGTGGAAACCACTCTAGCTATCCACCTTTTTTAGTTTTATTAATTCTCAGTATTTGGTTCTTTGAGATACTGAGCATTTTACAACTTTTATGATATCTCAGTGTACCCTTAGTAATTCAGAGAACATATCACACAGAGGATGGATGATGTCATTAATTTCACTGTTGGGTTTGCTGTCACCTGCTTCCAGCTAGCTTATACTGCTTCCCACTCTGAATAGAGGGTGTTGTTTTATTACTGTTCTCTGTGTGGGATGTTTCACCTGCATGCATGTCTGTGCACCTTGTGCATGAAGAGACGGAGACCAGAGAGTGCCCTAGATCCCAGAACTAGAGTTACAGACACTTAGGAGCTACCATGTCCTCAAGAATAAAACAGCCATCTCTCTGGCCCCTGAATAGAGAGTTTTTTGGTTTGTTTTGGATTCCAAGACAGGGTTTCTCTGTGTAACCATAGCTGTCCTGGACTGGAACTCACAGAGATCCTCTTGCCTCTGCCTCCCCAGTACTGGGATTAAAAGCATGCGCCATTGCCATCCATCTTTGATTTGTTCTTTGTAGACCAGGCTGGCTTTGAACTCTCAGATCCATCTGCCTCTGCCTTGCCTCCCAAGTTGAGGTTAGAGGTGTCCCATGCCCAACTGCAAACAGGCTTGGAGATCTTCCTCCTCTGTAGATGCATGAAATGCTCATTGCTGTGAGACAGAAGTCACAGCTGTGTGGCTGTTACAGAAAGACAGGTCTATATGGTGTGTGGCCATCTTGCTTGCTAAATGTGTCTGCATGATTGGAGAAGATAAGTACCAAAGAAGAGTTTCTGCTGGCCATGTTCCTCCAGGGAAGGCTACAAAAAAGTTCTCACAGAGTGGAGATAAATCCAGTCCTTTAGATTTTTAGGCATCTTTCTTCTCTATGTAAACTGTTCTCATTTCACCTTCCCACCTTGATTGAAGTCATTGCCCCCCAACAGCAAGGAGTGGGGGGGGGCTGCCTTAGACTTTTTTTCCTTCTATTTTAAGCATGTCATATTCTTAAGGATTTGAGGGCCTGGAGAGATAACTCAGAGGTTAAGAGTACTGGCTGCTCTTCCAGAGGTCCTGATGGCTCCCAACCATCTGTAATGAGATCTTGTGCCCTCTTGTGGCCTGCAGGGATGCATGCAGACAGAACACTTTTGAAATCTTTCAAAAAAAAAAAAAATTCAAGTTATTCCCATCGAACAGATTTAACAATGGATTTCTTTTTTGTAAACATCCTATTTTCTGTTACTGGAAATATATTGAATTATTACTAAATAAGTAATTTTTTCCCCTTTCTTACCTGCAGAGCTCCGGAAATTGGCCTCAGTCCTCGTTAGTGACTGGATGGCTGTCATCCGCTCCCAAAGTAGTGCCCAGCCTGCAGGTAAGCTCCTTGACTCTGTACCTCAGGGGTTTTCTTTCCCATAAGAGGCAGCTCTAGGGTGACCCTAGGTTGGTTCTTCGCCTCTGCCAGTCTTCTTATCTAAATGAGATTTTTTTTTTTTTTTTTTTTTTGGTTTTTCGAGACAGGGTTTCTCTGTGTAGCTTTGGAGCCTATCCCGACACTCTCTGGAGACCAGACTGGCCTCAAACTCACAGAGATCTGCCTGCCTCTGCCTCCTAAATGAGATTCTTACCTGCTTTGTTTTTCCACAACAGAGAAAGATAAGAAGAAACGGAAGGAAGAGGGAAAAAGCCGAACTACGCTTCCTGAGAGACCTTTGACTGAGGTGAAAACCGAGACCAGGGCTGAGGAGGCTCCAGAGAAGAAGAAGGAAAAGCCCAAGTCGCTGCGAACCACAGCACCGAGTCACGCCAAGTTTCGCTCCACTGGTAAGGCCGCTAGCCAGCTTTGCAGTACCATCAATATGCACAGCCAATAGTTTTAGTTGTGATTTCAAACTCTGAGGAAGAAAGAAGGCTAAAGGAGAAGCCGGGGCACTTACTCAAGGCTAGAACATCTAGGGGTGTCAAGAGGGAGGGACAGTGAGTGAAGGTTGGCGCTAACTGCTGTCACCTTGTTTCTCCCCAGGACTAGAGCTGGACACCCCATCTTTGGTGCCTGTGAAGAAGAACTCCAGCACTGTGGTGGTGTCAGACAAGTACAACCTGAAGCCCATCCCCCTCAAGCGGCAGAGTGCCACAGCTGCTCCAGGAGATGCTGCTCCGCCTGCGGAGAAGAAGTACAAGCCCCTCAACACAACCCCCAACGCCACCAAAGAGATCAAAGTGAAGATCATCCCCCCTCAGCGTGAGTCCTCCTGGAGGGCCCTTGGCACAAGGAAAGCGCTTCTGGGTGGGAAGGGGGGAGATTCTCCTGTCAGCCATTTCCTTGCTCTGCCTTTAATGTTTTGGCATCCTATATTTTTTGTAGGGATTTCCCCTTCCACATTAGATAAGTGGCAAGAAGCCATGCCCCTCTCAAATGATAACTTTGTCAGCTATCTCCTTCCTGGCTGGACCCTCTGGTGTGCAGCTTGCTTAATGAATTGATTCTAGAATTGTCATCAAAGACATAGCTGCCAAAAGAAAGATGGGAGAAAGGGGATTTCCTGTGCAAAGCTTGCTTCCTGGTCACCGTGGGCAGGGACCCCACAGGCGTGCTTTTGTCTTCTTCCTGGACTCTGCAGGAATAGAATTGTGAAGAAGTTCATTCAATTCATTGCATCTATTCTTTCCTTCTGTAGCTATGGAGGGCCTGGGTTTCCTGGATGCTCTCAATTCAGCCCCTGTCCCAGGCATCAAAATTAAAAAGAAGAAGAAGGTGCTGTCACCTACAGCTGCCAAGGTGTGAGCCTAGAAGTGGGTTTTGGTGACAGGGTGTGTGGGGTGCATTCTGGGAGAGTGTGGGCTGGGGCCATGGGGCATCTAGGACCCTGGCTTTGTTGTCCTGGGTGTCCTGTAAGCTCACTGGATGCTTTCTCTTTCCTAACAGCCCAGCCCTTTTGAAGGGAAAACAAGCACTGAACCGAGCTCAGCCAAACCTTCCTCCCCAGAGCCAACGCCCCCTGCTGAGCCCATGGACACAGATCGTCCTGGCACCCCGGTGCCACCTGTTGAAGTCCCAGAGCTCATGGATACAGGTAACCCACGATGCCTTGTTAGAGCCTTTTCTGAAAGGCTGCATCTTGGGCTGGATCTTAGCTTGCTGACAGCCTCTTCTGTAATCTGTCTTGTTTTCAGCCTCTTCAGAGCCAGGAGCTCTGGATGCGAAGCCTGTGGAGAGCCCTGGTGATCCCAGCCAGCTGACTCGAAAGGGCAGAAAGAGAAAAACAGTGACATGGCCTGAAGAGGGCAAGCTGAGAGAATATTTCTACTTTGAACTGGATGAAACTGAACGAGGTGAGATGCCAGTTCCCTGCGTTGGGGGTGTGCCAGAATTTGAACACGGGCAGTTTTGCTCACTTGTTCTCTTGGCCTCTCTGTCTTCCTTGCAGTGAATGTGAACAAGATCAAAGACTTTGGTGAGGCAGCCAAGCGTGAGATACTGTCAGACCGACATGCTTTTGAGACAGCCAGGCGACTAAGCCATGACAACATGGAGGAGAAAGTGCCCTGGGTGTGTCCCCGGCCTCTGGTTCTGCCCTCACCTCTTGTCATCCCTGGAAGCAATAGTCAGGAGCGATACATCCAAGCTGAGCGGGAAAAGGGCATCCTTCAGGAACTCTTCCTGAACAAGGAGAGGTGAGCACAGGCCTCCAGGCCTGAGGTGTGGACCGCCTGTACCATGGGACTGTGTTGTGGGGACTTAGGGAGACACCTCAGTGAACTTCAGGGGCTGAATTAATGTGCTTGTATTCCTTTTTTTCTCCTCACCTGTGGCGCGTGTCCTGACAGTCCTCATGAGCCCGATCCTGAGCCCTATGAGCCTATACCCCCGAAGCTCATCCCCTTGGATGAGGTGAGTCTTTGTAGGCGCTGGTGTGGTGGACCGGCGGTGCTGGGCAAAAACATGTGACGATGCCTCTGTGGTGTTTTCCACAGCTCTGATTTGTCTTTTTCTGTTCTCAGGAGTGTTCCATGGATGAGGCACCGTATGTTGAGACCCTGGAGCCTGGAGGGTCTGGTGGCTCACCTGATGGGGCAGGAGGCTCCAAGCTGCCTCCGGTTCTGGCCAATCTTATGGGAAGCATGGGAGCTGGGAAGAGCCCCCAGGGCCCTGGAGGAGGAGGAGGCATCAACGTCCAGGAGATCCTCACCTCCATCATGGTGTGTGAGCCGACGCCGCTGCCTCACTCATGAGCTCTGCACGCTGTCTCCCACGCTTTACCCTAGCTTTGTCTTTGCTTGTGTTTGGTTTCTTTTCCATTTAGGGTAGTGCTGGGCTTCAGTTTTGGGAAAGGGTCTCACTGCGTTGCCCAAGCTGGTCTGGGACTCAGCCTACACCTGTGCCCAGCTTATCCATTTCTTGGTCTGCATTTCCATGTATGTTCTTGCTTTGCCCTGGCCATCAGTCACTCTCCTAACTGTCATTTTACCTACTCGCAGGGCAGTCCAAACAGCCACCCTTCAGAGGAACTACTGAAACAGCCAGAGTACTCAGACAAGCTCAAGCAGATGCTGGGTAATCCTCAGGGCCAGCCACAGGAGCCCGGGGAGGATGCCCTGTGGCAGAGGGGGGAAACAGGGTTCCCCAGATGCAGAAGAGCATGGGACTGTTGCCACTGGGCAAGAATTGGGAGGGGAAAACTGGACAGAGAGCATGGCTCTGCCAGGTTGGTCTGAGATGAGTTGGGCACACTTGGGTGGGAAACCATGCCATTCTTCGAGTTCTCTTTCTGACTGGCTCCTGTTTTCATTTACAGTGCCACATGGACTTCTAGGTCCTGGTCCTGTAGCCAATGGCTTCCCACCAGGAGGCCCCGGGGGCCCCAAGGGCATGCAGCATTTCCCCCCTGGTCCTGGAGGGCCCATGCCAGGTAGGTGAGAGGGGTAGGTGAGAGGGATTTGGTGGGCTTACTGCTTCTTTTCAGCATGGCAACAGCCAGGGATCACCGAAAGTGGGACGGGGTCAGGTTAGAGGCAGCAGTGCTAGAGTGTAACAGATAACTGATTTTTTTTTTTTTCCCCTTCCCCTTTATCTAACAGGTCCCCATGGAGGCCCTGGTGGTCCAGTAGGTCCACGTCTTTTGGGTCCCCCACCCCCTCCTCGGGGAGGTGATCCCTTCTGGGATGGCCCAGGTGACCCCATTCGAGGTGGCCCAATGCGTGGGGGTCCAGGACCTGGTCCTGGACCATACCACAGAGGTCGAGGAGGTCGTGGAGGAAATGAGCCGCCGCCACCCCCTCCATTTCGAGGAGCCAGAGGAGGTCGTTCTGGAGGAGGACCCCCAAATGGCAGAGGGGGTCCTGGTGGAGGAGGCATGGTTGGAGGTGGTGGGCACCGCCCACATGAAGGCCCTGGAGGAGGAATGGGCAGTGGACATCGTTCCCATGAAGGCCCGGGAGGAGGAATGGGCAGTGGACATCGTTCCCATGAAGGCCCGGGAGGAGGAATGGGCAGTGGACATCGTTCCCATGAAGGCCCCGGAGGAGGAATGGGCAGTGGACATCGTTCCCATGAAGGCCCGGGAGGAGGAATGGGCAGTGGACATCGTTCCCATGAAGGCCCGGGAGGAGGAATGGGTTCTGGTGGTGGACATCGCCCCCATGAAGGCCCTGGACATGGGGGACCTCATGGCCACCGGCCGCATGATGTCCCTAGTCATCGAGGCCATGACCACCGAGGTCCACCACCTCATGAACACCGTGGTCATGATGGCCATGGGGGAGGCGGCCACCGAGGGCATGATGGAGGCCACAGTCATGGAGGAGGTGAGGACACTTCTCATCCCACACATGGATAGATTTTTAAGTGTCTCATACCAGATTGCGGGGTGGGGGGTGTAAGGGAGAGGTAGAAAGAACATTAGGGTTCTATCTCCATGTCTTCTCTGTATATAAGGAAGGCAGCTCCCACTCTCTGTCTTTACATCAGATCCCCAAACACTGTCTTTGAAGGCTTGTCCCAGTTGCTCAGGACTCGGGTTGGGGATGGTGGTGGCCTCTTAGCTGTTTTCTGACCATTCTGCTCTGGTTCCACAGATATGTCCAACCGCCCTGTCTGTCGACATTTCATGATGAAGGGCAGCTGTCGCTACGAGAACAACTGTGCCTTCTATCACCCGGGGGTCAATGGGCCCCCGCTGCCGTAGGCCGGCCCCACCCCGCCCGCACCCCTGTGGACTGCAGCCTTGCTCCTTTCACTCTTATGGCTTCTGTGAGGCCTACTTCCCCTTTTCCCCAGCTGATGAGGAGCCGGCCCCCTCCGTTCCCACCTGGTTGGGTTCCTGGGGGTTTCTGATCACTGGTGCGCATTGATGTACATACTCCCCTCCAGTCTGGAGAGGAGAGAGACTGGACACACTCTATATGCTGGACTGCTGAGACGGCTGGCTTCACTTTGTGAGGAGATTCGCCCTGTGCCCCAAACCCCTTCCAGTATTAGCCCCGATGCCTGAGAACCTAAAGCTGGTCACCCTGGAGACCTCTGCTCTCCAATTGCACATGGAACTGAGTTGGTCACCTGCACTTAGGAAACCAAGCCAAGCCAAGCTCATTATCCCCTTGGGGTGAGGGGTGATGAGGGGTACCATATATCCCACTGCACTGAGGGCTCAAGCTGGCTGGAATTGAGTTCTGGAACCACCCTCTCTTGTGCCCCTCATGGGCCAGTCACTGTTGAGTCCTTTCTCAAGGAAGACTGCAACTGTTAGTACCCAAGTCTTTGTGGGTCTGCCAGGTTCAGTGAGGGCACATTCATATCCATACCTAGTTAAAAGTAGCTGGCGGAGGGGAGGCCTGCAGCGTTAGGCCACTCTTGCCTACAGCCATGTTAGAGACTCCATTAAACACTTCCGTGAGACCAGCTTTCATCAACTTAGCCCGGGCGCACCGGGCCTAACGCACTACATGCACTGCCTTTGGGAGTGGGCTTGCTCCTTACCCCATATGGACCCTGTCTGCGAGGCTTCTCGGGTAGATTCAGCAGGAGTGGCCCCGCCCCAGTCCTCTCCTTCCCCTGTCTTGGCATCAGTTGTTTTCTATGAAAACAGTGGGTTGGTTTTGTGCAGGGTCTTGGGTTAGAACCACAATGGATTTGAGGAGTTTTTTCTTTTGATTTTGTATATTTTGTACATTAATAATAAACAGTGGAAAGAGAAGCAGCTTATTTAACCCCTGCTGTGTTTTGACTCTTGCTTTTTTGTTGTTATTGTTTTGTTTTTTAAAGACAATTTCTCTTGTGTTACAGCTCTGGCAGTCCTAGAACTCACTTTGTAGACCAGTCTGGCCTCAAACTTGAGATCTGCCTCCTGAGAGCTGGGATTAAAGGCGTGCACCACCACCTCCTGGCTTTTTAAAAAACATTTGTCTGTTTATTCTTATATGTGCATTGGGTTTTTTCTTCATTTATGTGTAGGTGAGGGTATCAGGTCCTCTCAACTGGAGTTAACTGGAGTTACAGCTGTGAGCCACCATGTGGTTGCTGAGAATTGAACCCAGATCCTCTGAAAGAGCAGCCAGTGCACTTAACCACTGAGCCATCTCTCCAGCCTGTGCTGGCTAGTTTCATGTCAACTTGACACAAGCTAGAGTCAATCAGAGAAGAGGAAGCCTCAACTGATCATAAGATCAAGCTGGCCAGTGGTGGTGGCACACACCTTTATGTCCAGAGGAAGAGACAGGCAGAGTTTGAGGCCAGCCTGGTCTACAGAGCGAGTTCCAGGACAGCCAGGACTACACAGAGAAACCCTGTCTTGAGAAGGCAGGAAACCAAGCTGTAGGCAAGCCAGTTAGGGCATTTTCTCAACTAGCGATTGCTAGGACGCTGTGGGTGGTGCCATCCCTTGGCTGATGGCCCTAGGTTCTATAAGAAAGCAGGCTGAAATGCCAGGTGTGGTGCTTATTATACCAGTACTCTAGAGGCAGAGGCAGGTGGATCTCTGAATTTGAGGCCAGCCTGGTCTACAAAGAGTTCCTGGACAGCCAGGGCTGTTACACAAGGAAAACCCTGTCTTGGTGTGTGTGTGGGGGGAATCAGGCTGAACAAGCCAGTAACCAGCACTCCCCCTTGGCCTCTGTCAGCTCCTGCCTCCAGGTTCCTGCCCTGTTTGACTTTCTTCAATGATGGACTAGGTGTGGAAGTGTAAGCCAAATAAACTCTCTCCTCAAGTTGCTTTTAGTCATGTCTCATCACAGCAATAGAAACACTAACTAGAACAATCTGACCAACACAGGCACCAGGCATATGTGTGATACACATATCACATAATTACAAGGAGGCAAAACAGTCATGCTTAAAGTCTAGAAGAGCTCCATATGGTGGGAGAGAATGGCTCTGTCAATTGTACTCTGACCTCCATACACTTGCCATGGCACACTCTCTTTAATTCCATCCAGCACGCAGGAGGCGGAATCACGCAGGTTTCTGAGTTAGAGGCCAGCCAGAGCTTTACAGTGAGACCCTGTCTCAAAACAGAAAAGGTTCCCCGTGTCTAGCTGATGGAACAGGATTTGAAAAGAAGCAGAAGGGCCTTGTCGGGTACACAGACTTAGGGAAGGAGGGGAGTCTGGGATGTAAGCAGCAGAACAGTGGCCCCTGATTGCTGTGTGTCCATTGGAACCATCCGAGGGGCCTGACAGGATCCGAGTTTGCAGGTGTCTTGAGTGTTATTTCCAGTATCGGCCACACGAGGGCAGTAACCTCTTAACTCTCACAAGTACCATGGCTAAAAGCTGGTGGGAATCAACCAGCCTGTGGTTACAGCGCTTCTTGTACCTCTTCAAGGCTCCATCACTTCTTCTCCCCATCTCCTACAAGCCCAAGACTCCCCAAAGAGAGCTCAATGTTTTCCCTACATTTTACTTTAAGGTCAAGGGGCCGGAGTGATGACTCTGGGCGTCTGCTTCTATTCCATGGGGCTGGCTTCAATTCTCAGCACCTGATAAATGTGGCTCACAGCTGCCTTGAATTCCAGCAGCTGGAATTTGGACACCCTCTTCTGGCCTTTGCACCTCCCCACACCCCTACACCAACCTGTGCATATACGTACATGAAAATGAGTCAGAATGGCCCCGGTAGGCTCATATATGAGGGAGTTCAGAGTCATCAGGAGTGGAACTATTTGAAAAGAAAAGGGGTGACCTTGAGGAAGTGTGCTGCTCAGTTTTGAGCCTTTTGAAAGGCTCTCTTTTCCTGCTGCTGGTGGATTAGGATGTAGCTCTCAGCTACTCCAGCACCATAGCATGCCTGCCATGGTGATAAGACTAAACATCTGAAATTGTAAGTAACCAAGCCACCAATTAAATGCTTCCTAGGAGCTGTCTTGGTCATGGTATCTCTTTACTGCAATAAATAAAATATATTTATGTGTGTCTGTGTGGGGTTGTATGCATGAGTGCAAGTGTCCTTGCATCCCCTTGGAAGCTGGAGTTACAGATACCTGTGCTAGGAACTCAAAGTCTGTGGAAGAGCATCAAGGAGTCTTAACCACTGAGCCATCCCTCCAGCCCACAAAGACTTATGTGCACCAGTGCTTGCCTGAATGTGTGTGCATTGCATGTGTGCAGGACCCTCCCAGGCCAGAAGAGGGTGTCAGATCTACTGGGGTGAGAGTTACAGTTGTTAGGGTGCAGACTTGAACCTAGGTCCCCCAGATATGCAGCCGGTACTTTTTTTTTTTTTTTTTTTTCAAGACAAGGTTTTTCTGTGTATCCTGGCTGTCCTGGAACTTGCTCTGTAGACCAGGCTGGCCTGGAACTCACAGAAATTCGTCTGCCTCTGCCTCCTGAGTGCTGGGATTAAAGGTGTGAGCCAACACCACTCAGACTCACATCCAAGTCCTTGATATTCACTAAATCACCAACACTCCATAATTCCTGCATTGTCTCATCTAGACGGAGTGAGTGGATGAAGCAGGAGCAGAAGCAATAGTGTCACAGTTTAGATTATCCACAGAGGCCCCCGACACCAGCTCCACTGGACCAAGACATGGAAGAGCTTCAAGGTCAACCAGTCACCTTAAGTACTCCACAGTGGCTGGACTGAAAAAAATCCCTTCACACTCAGTGTGCTCACTGCATCCCACTTGTGACTCCTTGGAAAATAATTTTTCCACACTGGACTCTGTATTTGCCCTGGAAAACCATTCATTCCTTTCTCCTTCAACACTTCACATTTAGTCTGTTTTCCCCATTTCCCCCTTCTCTCCACCAGTCCCAAGTGTTTCCCTGAACACTGGACCTGCTTCTCCCAGGTGGACAGGCTCTGGGCCTCACTCCTGTTCCAAGTGCGACTCCAAATCTGGAAATCTGTCCTTTCTGGACACATGGCAATCTTTAACCAAAAATATTACACACATGGAAGTCAGATATGTCACAAATGTCCATGCCTTAGTTTTTGAGTCTTTGTAGCCAAGGCTTGCTTCAAATGTACTAGGTAGCCAAGGGAAGCCCTCCTTCTACCTCCTGGGCGCTGGAATCAGAGGTGTGCGCCCTATCCCAACATGGTCTGTTGGTCTTAGATCATCAGCTCGGTCACACCCCCTCCCTGAGGGCACAGAGGGCACACTGGCAGGGGAGGACGGAACAGCAAAAGCTGAGGAGACTCCACACAGGGACAGGATGTCAGCAACCCCAGTGCTTTATTTCCCCCCCTCTGAAAGGAGACTGCACTTCATCAGCTCCCTTTCCTGCCCTCAAGCCCCCACCAGACAAGCCACCACAAGCACCAGATCTTGGGTTGGTGACACAACAGGTCTCAGACACTGGCCTCCAGCCGTGCTGTGGTTCCGGCTGCTTGTGTCAGTGAGGACCCTTCCAAAAGGAGGGACCAGGCAGAGTCAGTCCTGAGTGGCCAGAGTCTTGAGACAAGAGGCCACCTTAACTTGGCTTGAGAAGAATGGACCACAGCAAAGGTCACCTCTGTCTGGCAAGAGATGCTGAGGGTAAGCCAGTTCTGTTATCTGAAGGAGACACAGTCCTTCGGTGGGAAGGACACAATCCACACGGATCCTGTCACACGCATCAAGGCAACACTCCACCTTCATGGCCCATGTGGCTGAGTTGGCAGCAGACACAGCGGGCGTCTGGGTGGGTACAGGCAGAGACCCCAGCCACAGGAGCTTGTCTCAGAAGGTTTCCAGGAGGGGAGCTCAATCCCGAGGCCGGTTGACCATGACTTCACCCAGGGCCTCCAACACCTCTCGCTTGTAGTCATCAAAGTCACCATCGATCTGACTGACACTCTGCTCCTCCACCACCCACAACTGGCAATTGGTTTCTGTGATGAGCCGGGCATCGTGGCTAACAACAATCACAGCTGTGGAGAAAGATGATAAAGACAGGGCAGGAGGGGGAATCGAGCGTGGAGAAGAAGAGCCCCAGTCCACACTGCTTTGTCTGCCCCCCCAGCAGACTTACCCCCCTGGTACTCATTGATGGCCTCCCCCAGGGCATCAATAGACTCAATGTCCAAGTTATTGGTCGGCTCATCCTGTGGAGAAGAAGAGACCCATGGCAGAGCACTGCAACACCTGTCTGCAGCTCTTACCTTCAAGCCCCTTTCCTGTGCCAGGCCCACTCACCAAGATGAGGACATCAGGCTCCCGACAGGCCAGCTCAGCAAACACAACTCGGGCTTTCTGCCCACCTGCCACAAAAGGAAGAGGCAATCAGATCCCTGTCACCTGCCCACACAAACCACATTCTCTCTGTCCTCAGGCCACGGGGGCTCCTCCTCCTCCCAGTCTCCAGGGGGAGCCCAGGAGGTCCTACCAGAGAGTTTGCAGATCTGGATGGTGTGGGCATGGCTCTCGAGGCCAAAGCGGCCCAGGCACTTGCGGGCATCCTGGTAGGGCAGGTTGAAGCTGCGCTGCAAGTACTCAGTGGGGGTCTCCTCCATGTGCAGCTGCTCTGCATACTGCTGGTTAAAGAAGCCAATTTTCTGCCCAAGAGGAGAGGAGGTGGTCAGTGTGGTCAGTCAGGGGCCTGCTTCCTGCCAGACTTCTACACCTCAGTCCCACAGCCAGCTTACCAGACGATGGTTCTTTCTCATTTCCCCGTTGGTCTGCAAGAAAAAGCAAGCATAAGAGCAGGGATGCGGGAGGGCGGCGACACCACAGCCCAGTTTTTCTTTTCCTTTTTTAATGTTTTTTAAAAAAGAGTCATTTATTTAT